TATACACCTGAAACAGACATTTCCTTATCTACTGTATGATCAGATTAGATGGGTGGTAGTGCGCAGCACAGCTCGGGCCCCACTGACACAGCCGCTCTGACTCACTGGCCCCTGGGGCTGCATCAGCATGCTGTGCATGGACCAGCTGCGCACGGACCAATGTGCACAGCCTGCCCTTATCTTCCCCTGTATATAAGCCGGCCTCTGCTGCCCTAGGGACCTCAGTTTCGACCTCTTGTCCCTAGGTCAGTAAGCATCCCTTTGTATTTCTTTCTTACTTAACTAATATATTATCTTGTCCCTAGCCTTAGGTTTGAGCATTGCTCACCATCACTTCGGTGAGACCCAGTCGAACACCCCCAGTGTCCTTGTTTGGTTTTCCTCTGTCGCTTGACCTCAAGTTGCAACAGCAGCATTGAGGCGGTGAGGGGCATTTGGTTTTTTCTGGTGGAAGTTGGCTATGAGGGCCGGCACATTTGCAACATTGCACGCCAGCTCCCATGATGTATGCGAGTCGTCATAACCTTTCCACTTGACAAGATACTGTAGCTGATGCTGGAAGATCCTCGAATCTTTGATCTGCTCAACCTCATACTCCTCATCGCCCTCAACCTCAATGGCAGGCAGCTCCTCCGGCTCTCGGCCCGGGATCTTGCTATGCGCATACTTGCTAAGCAAGGAGATGTGGAACACCGGGTACACAGGCACCGACTTCGGCAGAACCAATTTGTAATCTAAGTTGCCGAGCTTTCGCCACACGGCATATGGTCCGAGGCACTTGGGACTGAGCTTCTTGCTCGGCTGTTTCAGCTTAAGGTTTCGGGCATCAAGCCAGACCTTGTCCCCTGGTGCAAAGACCAGTGCCTCCTGCATGTGCTTATCATAGTACACCTTCATCTGCTCAGCTGACAGCTCAAGCACGGAGCATGTATCATCCCTGATCTCTTTCAGGATTTTAAGCTGGTCGGTGGCTGTGGGCATCATGGACATCAGATTGATCTGCACCTGGATCTCAGGATGATACCCCTGATGTAAGAAGAAAGGGGAGTGCCCGGTTGCGGAGTGAACTCGGTTGTTTAGCGTGAATTCCGCAAGCAGCAACTGCCTTGCCCAATCATCCTGCCTGTGGCTTGTGAAAGCACACAGGTATTGCTCGATCTCCTGATTCCAGTGCTCGGTCTGGCCATCTGTCTGAGGATGGAACACCGTAGATAGTGCCGGTTCGATCCCCAATCCCTTGTACACCACATGGAGGTACTTTGACGTGAACTGGGGACCACAGTCTGATATGACTTTGGCCGGGGCCCCATGATGTTTGAACACGTCGCAGATGTACAAGTCAGCCACACCTTCTGCCATCAGGGTCTCATGACAGGCAGAGAAGTGAACCTGCTTGGTAAAGCAGTTGGTGGTGACTAGGATTGAGTTGACTCCATCAGACTTCGGCAGGCCAACAATCATATCAGTGGTGATGATCTGCCATGAGTGTTCGGGGATCTCATTTGGCTTCAGTGGACCCTGGGGCTTGGCTGGGAATGTCTTGGTATGGTCGCACACGTCGCAGGTGCTTATGTACTCATTGATGAACTTAGACATCCCCAGCCACCAGTAGTTCCACAATACCAGCTCGAGAGTTTTGGCATGACTGCCGTGACCAGTGATCAGCGAGTCATGGTGGATCTTGACAATATCCTGCCGGAGCTCCGCATTCTTTGGGATGTATACACACCCACAGAACAGCAGAAGCCCTTGCTCAGCATTTCACTCCTCAAAGCCCTTCTGCAGCCAAGGGGAACTGAGGTTCTGCACCTTCTCAAGTGCCTCGGCCACTGCCCAATCCCTGTCTGAACACTCTCTGATGCACTTTAGGAGCGACTGATCAGCTGTCACCGAAGTGTGCCCATGCTGTGTGGAGGTGATGCGGAAGCGCTCCTGTTTGAGGACAATCTGATCGGTGTTGTCATCCTCATCGCCGACCTGATGGTCTGATCGGCGTGACAGGGCATCAGCCTTTCCATTCGATGTTCTGGCTTTATGTGTGATGCGGAAATCAAAGCATGTGAGGAACAGCGACCATTGCGCTTGACGACGCGTGAGGTGCTGTGACGTGCACCAGTATTCGAGGTTCTTATGATCAGTTATGATCTTGAACTGTTTGGGCAATCCTTCAAGATAGTGGCGCCACTCATATAGCGCTTCGATGATTGCAAGCATCTCCTTGTTGTAGATCTTGTAGTTATGCTGGGCAGGGTCTGTAGCATGAGATCTGAAGGCAACCGGATGCCACTTATCATTGTCCTGCTTCTGCATCAACACGCCACCAGTGGCATACCCTGAGGCATTAACCTCAATACATGTTTCCCGATTAGGGTCGTACAGCGCTAGGACCGGGGTGATGCCGAAGAGCCGTTTGAGCTCATCAAATGTGTGCTGCTCCTCATGTCACGAGTTGACACAGTGTCTAGCCATTTCTTTTAATTTTTTCCTTTTCACGGGCTCGAACCCGCGACCTCTGTACCATACGCTCAAATGGACAAGTCCTTATCTACTGTATGATTAGATTAGATGGGGCAGCAGTGCACGGTGCAGCCCGGGCACCGCTTACACAGCCGTGCTGACTCACCGGCCCCCGGGGCTGCATCAGCAACACTGCGCACAGACCAGCTGCGCACGGACCAATGTGCACAGCCTGCCCTAAATCCCTCATGTATATAAACTAGCCTCTGCTGCCCTAGGGACCTCAGTTTCGACCTCTTGTCCCTAGGTCAGTAAGCCCCTGTACTTACCTCCTTACCCTCACTAACTTATACATTTACTTGTCCCTAGCCTTAGGTTTGAGCATTGCTCACCATCGCTTTGGTGAGACCCAGTTGAACACCCCCAGCCTTCATGTTTGTTTGTCCTCTGTCACTTGACCCCAAGTCGCGACACCTCATCTCCCCAGTGCCAGGGGTCGTTTCCTGTGAGTTGGTCGAGTGGTCACGAGATCTTGGCAAAGTCCTTAACAAAGCGGCAATAGAAGTTGGAGAACCCCCGGAACTTCTGAACATTTTTTTTGTTCTGGGGCACTGGCCACTTGTTAATTCCTTTTAGCTTTGCAAAATCCATCGCTACCTCATCGCCACCAAACACATAGCCAATGTAGTCGACTTTGGAAACATCCCATTTGCACTTCTCAGGCTTCAGGAACAGATTGTTATCCTGAAGGCGATGAAGAACCTCACATGTGACCTTCTCATGCTCCACCGTGTTGGTGGAGAAGATGAGTATGTCATCCAGGTACATGAGGATCTTCCCGCCAACAATGAGATCATGGAAGATTTTGTTCATCATGGCCTGGAAGGTTGTGGGGGAGTTGGTGAGGCCGAAGAACATCACCAGGGGTTCGTACAGCCCTCGGTTGGTTATGAAGGCTGCCTTCCACTTGTCACTGGCTTTGATCCGGACATTGTTGTATCCCCATCTGACGTCGAACTTTGTGAAGAGCGTAGCGCCGCGGAGCTTGTCTACCATTTCGGCGATCAGCGGCAGTGGATAGCGATTCTTAACGGTGATCGCATTCAGTCAGCGATAATCCTGCATGGGTCGAAGTGTCCCTTCCTTCTTTTTGATGAAGAAAAAGGGGGACGAGATGGGTGACTTCGACTCCCGTATGTAGCCTTTGGCCAGCTGCTCTTTTAGGAACTTATCCAGCTCCTCCTGCTCATTGTTTGACAAGGGATACACTTTTGAGTGGAACACTGAGTAGGCAGGCACGAGTTTGATTGCATGATCATACGGCTTTCTTTCAGGTAGCCGTTCTGATGCTTCTTTGGAGAAGACGTTCAGGAACTCGTGGTACTGCTTTGGTACTGACTCCTCGGCAGTCTTCACAACCTTCTTTTTGATCTCTTCCTCGGCGAACAGCTGGGAGTATGTATGTCCTGCTGCGACAAACAGCTGAGGAGTGCCTGGAAGCATGATACCTTGCTCCCAGGCCTCGATCAAGTTGGTCTCTGTCCACTCAATCTCCTCCAGCTCCTCCTCGGGCTCAAAGTCCGGGAGTACCTTACTCCGGCAGGCACTGATGACTGACCATCTGGACTTCGGAGAACACCTGCGCGCTGTGGGCCTGACCCCCGTATCATGCGCAGTCACTGCTTGCTCCATTTGGCCAGCCTTCCTGGCACTGCACATTTCAGGGCATCATGACAGCTTGAACGTGCCTGTCTCCCAATCAATTTTGGGGTTGTGCTCACGTAGCCAATCCAACCTGATGATCACATCCTCTGGACCTATGTCCATGACTGTGAACACTGTCTTCTCGATGTGATCTCCTATCTGCATCTGTAGCATGGCTACTTCTGAGATGCTTCCATCTTTGTTGAGCGTTCCATCAATATTGTAGAGTGGAATTGGTTCCTTCAATTTCCACATTCATACTCAATTCTCTGTGATGAAATGCTTGTTGATAAACTTTGTGGTGGCTCCACTGTCCACCATTGCGACTATGTCTTTGTGCCATCTTTCTTCTTTGAGGCGTACTGGGATGAGGAAATGCTGGGACCCATGGTCCAACTCGTACACATTTGCAGTCGCCAATACATTGTACAGATTGTTATTACGAGGCCTGACGCGTGCAGCATGAAGCGCGGACCTGATCAAAAACCCTCCTCCTTCATCGCCCGGTAGTGCTTGAGCTCTTCGCGCATCGACTTCACCTGTGCCAGTAAGCCCGCCAGCTCAGATTGCTCAGATTTCGCGGAAGCGGCACTTATACTTGCTGAGGGTGATGTTGTGACAGGGGCACTTGTCACGGCCTGGGTGGAACCTGAGGCAACCGTAGCCCGCGCATCAGCGCACTTGGTGTAAGGCTTGTCCTTACAATTGGGGCACTCGAAGCGACGGTACCCTTGCTTCCCACAGCCAAAGCAACTGCCGGGGAAGTCTCCTTTTCTGATGGCCGCGTTGATGCTGGCCGAAGCTCCGTGCGATCGGGGTGCACCACCATGTGCTCCACCTCATCCTCCTCCTCGAGCTGAGAAGAAATTGTTCAACTCGGGTCGACGGGCCCAGCTGATGTCAAGTATTTGTTCGACCTCCGTGGCGTGCTTGTCAGTGTCTTCCCACGTGGTGAACATTTCGAGCTCAATTTTGCGGTAGATGCGGGAGGGGATGCCGCTCAGGTACTTGTCGCGGAGTTCCAGGTCTCCATACCCGGAACGGTCCGCTGGACCCTTGAATAGTGCGGAGAACTCTGCGGCAGTGCGTTTTTCACATACCGATTTGTCAGCACAGAGTTTGGCCAGCTTTACCTGTGCTGCAGCTTTGTCGTCGAGATTGCTGAAGCGGGCTTTGAGTGCGGTAGCAAAAGCCGCTTCATTGGTGAAGGGGGTCGTGACTCCTTGAGTACCTAACTGTACTGATATGAGCTGGGCAAAGAAGGGGGTAGCCCAGGTGCGAGCGTCGCTGTCAAGGAGGCTCAAAGCAACCTGCACCTTGAGCTCGATGGTAGCCAATGACATATTGACCAGCCAGTAGATGCAGAGTTGAGATAGGAATCTATCGCACTCAATGACGGTTTTGCCATTGTATCGGAGGGGGAGCAGGAGCCTCAGTGTCTCCTTATTGGGAGGGGACGCTGGGGATGACATTACCAGCGACAAGGGGGATGGAGGACTGCCCACGGGTGAAGATGGCTGTTGTGACTGTCCGCCGGGCAAACTTCGAGAGGAGCGAATGCTCGAGCGGCCTCGTGGCGGCGACGACAGTGGAGGCGACGGAGGAAGTCCGGAGGCGGGGTGATGTACGACAGGGACTGGAGTCGAGGACGAGATTGCTGATGACGAGCTGGCCCAAGTAACTGCTGGACTGTCACAGGGCTCAGGCTTCGGGTTCCTTTCCAACCGCAGCCCCAAGGAGGGCTGGGGGATCGCTTGAGGGGTTGCTGTAGGCTGTGCGACTGCCTCAATTCCTTGAGGGAGATTGGGATCTCCTTGTGCTTGACCTGTACTGGTGACAGGTTGGGGAATGCAGGTGCCTGGGGAGGCAGGTCGGGACAGAATGGGAGTGATGTGGCGAGATGTGGATCTCGAAGTGCCAGTGTACCGAAGTGCTGGGCCGCTGGGGTGCTGGACTCGTCGGATTGGCACATAGCATCCTTCGTCAGAAGTGATGGACCGCAGAGTGCGATTAGGGCATGGTTGCCGATCACAAATGAAGAACGGAGCTCTGGATCCATCGCTCTCTGGGTTGTCGCGGGAAACGTCGATTTGCTCCTGGGTGTCGAATGCATGCTCGAGTCGAGAGCAGTTGAAGAATTCATCAGCCACGGTGATGGGGGAAGGAAGGGGAGGTGCACGTGCTATGAAAGGCCGTACTAGCTAGCTTACACCTACGGTGCCCAAGATAATGCTAGGGTTCGCGATTCACGTGGGGCCCAGTACTGCTTTTGGCTAGTATGCAGCAGGAACCTAATCCACACATCCGTTTAAGGACAAGCACCGCCCACTGAAGTGCAGGTGCTGAAAGGTTCGTTCCCTGAGTGGTGGCGATGTATAGTAGGCTATCTACGTATTGTAGCGTATGATAGGGGTGCGCACCACCCAACCTATAGGGAGTGAAAGTGTGAGTGGAATTGCGTGTGAACGCCGGCAGCGAGGGGGAGTTTTGATCTAATGTCGCGACTTGGGGTCAAGCGACAAGGACAAACAAACACGAAGGCTGGGGGTGTTCGACTGGGTCTCACCGAAGTGATGGTGAGCGATGCTCAAACCTAAGGCTAGGGACAAGAAGTATATTAGTTAGTTAAGTAAGAAAAGGAATACATGAGAGGCTTACTGACCTAGGGACAAGAGGTCGAAACTGAGGTCCCTAGGGCAGCAGAGGCCGGCTTATATACAGGGGAAGATAAGGGCAGGCTGTGCACATTGGTCCGTGCACAGCTGGTCCGTGCACAGCATGCTGACGCAGCCCCGGGGGCCAGTGAGTCAGAGCGGCTGTGTTAGCGGGGCCTGAGCTGTGCCACGTGAAACATTTGTCTTTCCGTTCTATTCCTTGTACTACTAGCGCCCATACTGGCGCCTGTCTTAGCGCTCACCCGCAGGTTGAACATTATGTAGCTTACATAATGGGGTCCGTGCGCACTTCGTGCCTGGTATCGTACCACTACGTTTCTTTCTTCACTAACACGACCACATAGACACGATGGTCCGTGCGTAGTCGGTACTTGTATAAGTAGTTGTACCATTAGTCGGTCGAACCCTAAGTTCGACCTGGTTATTCATTCAAGTCTCTGCTCCTCTTCGCTTGGGGTAGTGGTCATTCTCGACTTCCTCGCTCGATCTTCAGGACGACGCACTGTCCATAAGTCCTCGCTCGTCGTCTACGAGTCAGGCATCGATATAGGAGTAAAGACCATTGTATCAAAAGGTCGAACTTTCTAAGCTACGTTCCTAGTTTTACCTAGTCGAACATCTCATCCACCATCACGTCG